ACTAAGGTTACTTTTGTAAGCAGAGTGGTTTTTATAATTTTTACAAGATAAAAACTTACCGTTTTCTACCGTTTTCTACCGTTTTTTACCGTTTTCTACTGTTTTCTACCATTTTATTTTTGAAAACAGAGTATGAAATAAAAAGAGAGCAATCTGTCATTTTATTGGACCTTTTTACTAACTTATTTACGTATATTTCTATTATTTGTCTATAATTTACTTTTATTTAGTAAATCACTTTTTGTATCATTAAAATTTATTCATTTTTGATGTGTAAATATGGTCTACTGAAATCAGTCAAAATAAGGAAGACGCACATTTCTGTTCAGAAAGTAAATTTCTACCCATCAATACAAAAGCGTCCCATATTATCCCAAAGGCTGTCACTGAGGTTTAAGCATGACTCTTCCCCTCCAAAATTTCACCCAATAAACAATAATCTGTGTTCTTCTGAGAAACGCCGAACTTTCTGTCCCGAGCGATTCTAGTATTTTATTAAATTTATTAAATTCTGGGGGATGCTTTTTTAGCCTTTTTAGAAGGTAAAATTTCAAAAATTTTCTTTCGCGTCGGACCCAACCATGGTGGGTCCTCCTACGACAGTAAACTTGATTCTTAGCTCCCAAGGCTCAATTTTTTTGGGCCGTCTCTGAAAAATGTTATCCTTCCAATCATACACACAAGTCAATATACTTAGGAATATCTGTAAATACCTTCTATAAAGCAGAAAGTCTTGAGAAATCCAATAATATTGACTTTTGTTTTTAAAGTAATTTGCCCTTCAACCATAAATCCCTTGTGGTGCCATGACCCACTGCATACTTTATATTCATTCGCTCTGCTGACACATCACCCCCCCCCCCCCCCACCAATTCACATGACAGATTTATGGCCCTGCATGTTGATATGAAGCTCTTTATCCTAATGAATATGTTGTATCAATTCATAGAGCTTTCATTCCCGGTATACTGGTTTTTTTGTCTTTCTGTCTTTCCTACCGAATAAATTGCGCGATAGCTTTTTTAGCTGTTGCACTAAAGGTAGAGCTGATGAAAAAGCGCGATCAACAACTGGCCTGCCAATACAAATTGCTTCAAAAGCAACGTTCCATGAAAGTCTGTCAACATCCTCATGTCTCTGTCTCGCTGGCCTACTTTGACAATTTGACTTCTCTGTCAGAAAGATTTGCGCGATCAAAAACTTTCATATTCGATAAGAATATCAAGGCTGATAGATTTGGGGAAATTGAGGCTCCGGGCGAGGGAGTAAAAGAGATCATGGTTTTTTTGCCCTTCAGTTAGTGCTGAAAGTATGATAGGCCTCAGGGGGTGGTAGCTTTCCATGATTAGATAAATACATAAACCTGTGTATTAGATAAATACATACTTTGATAGTAGATTATGGTTCGCTAGCGACTTGATATTGTCCTAATGTTCATGTCCAAACACTACTGAGTATTTGTGCTTCTATATATTAATTAGTAAATATCTGTTGATATGGCAACACGGATGCCATAGGCACTTTTTGGATGTCCCAAGTTTTGCAATTAAGTTACACTATCATCGATAGGGTTTTGAAAAATTGATGGGTCTACTAACAATTATGTACTTCAATAAAGAATTACAATAAAGAAGCGTTTGAGTGTTTCAATTTTGTTGGCTCAAATTATCCAATATTAGACAAATGCAGGCATTCTACTTCCAAGAGTTAAACGGTATTTGGCAGAATTCACTCGATGTCTTCAAAATCTGCCACTTTCTTCTTCTGAATCGCTGCTTGCGGTTGTTGCCAAAAATTTATTTTGACATTCTCCACACGAGCATAGATCCGTACAGTGCATTCTATTGTCGATGCAGCTACATATTGTTGGCTGGCATGTACGTTTGCAAAAGCAGGATAGAAGAGATAGAACTTCCTGTGGAGCTGGTTGACATGACATCCATCGAATCTTTATTACCTGGTTCTCATAGTACCAGCCGTGGTTGTGGATTTCAGAGTACGTTGGGTTGCTCTCGAAGGCAAGCCTCCATATTCTTGCTTGGTAATTGCATCGAAGGATATGCTGTTTGAAAGGACTATAACAAGGCGGTAGCTGCTCAGACTTGACTTTACCATTTTTACTGCAGTATATCTTATAACGCAAATCATTGACTTTGGAATGCTTTTGACCATACAGGAAGCAAACAAACTTCTGCAACACATTGATTGGATTGTCATCAACATCAAAATGCATGCAAATGCATCCACAAATTCTCTTTCCTCCTGCAGTAACTTCAAAGCTTTCAATTTGCCTTTACCTGTAAAAGCACTCACTGTATCGCATTCTGCGAAACAACAAACACCAAGAAGAGACCTATTGTATTCTATATTATTGACCCCTAGCTTGTTTGCAAGAATACTTGATTGACTTGAAACATCACCGATGCTGATTATTCTTGATTTGTTTCCAGTGCCTGTCTTGAAATAAAGACGGCCATGTAGTTCCGCTGAAAATGCAACTGCCATTATTTAGACGTCAGTATCAGGAGAATGTATGACAACGTTGGAATAGCCATTCATCTCTGCATGCTTCACATGAAGAGAGAGCCTTTTGTCTGCTTTCTCTTGAATGCTATGCAATTCTTCCACCTCATGGCATCTAGCTCTAGTGACCTTGAAGCAGCTGGCTTCCTCTGTGACATACAGCTCCTTGTTGCCATGTCGGTTGGTGAAAGCGGGATCGTTGAGTTTGGTGACCAAATAACTCATTAAAAGCGTATTGTTTCCATTTGAAGAAAGGAAGTTTTCCCATTGCTTTACTTTTGAATTTCCAAGCAGGGTACCAAAATGCAATGAAGATGTTGCGCGACGTTTTCTCTCAGCATTCTTGATGGAATTCTCCATGTAAATATCAAAGACAACAGCAATCCTTTTACTTGTAAAACCTGCTTGCAAAATCAATGCGAAAAGTTTTAGTGCGATGTCTCTATTATTATATTTGATTGGTCAATTTTTACCTTCTGAACGACTGCCATGCCATCAAAAAATGTTGCTGAGTTTTAGGGTACTGACTCAACATAATCGATGTTCTTTTCCAATGCTGTGGTTATTGCTGCCTTGTTAGTTTTCATGAGCATGCCAAACTCATCACCTAAGCTCCAAGGAACTGGGCCAAGAGGAAAGGAAAAGACTTCTTTCAGGTCAATATCTCTACTTTGACCAATTACCGCCATCCTGCCAAAAGGTCTCTGTCTGCCTTCAGCACTATCTCTTTTTGATTGATGTTCAATACTCACTTTGGTCTTAAACTGCTAAATATTTGCAGGTTCTGTTTCTGTAGTGGGTCAAAGAATTCTTTAATGGGATCTGCTCCAAGGCGCTCTGAGTGTAAAAGCTTCATGGCCTTTTTCCGTATGAGATGGCATTCAGTAAATGATCTATGATGGTAGGTGTTGAAGCAAGACCAGACGTTATACTAATCAGATCCTTTTGTTCTGAGGATGGAATAACAAAACTTGTATATGTACAGCAAGGGGAAAAATCAGACAATTCAGGTACCTTTTCTTGTAACAGCAGAAACAATAGAGAGGCCAATTATTGTATATAATGTGATTGAGGAGATTATTTGTGGTAACAGTGAAGACTCTGTTGAAAAGAAGGCAGTTTTGAGAAGTATTCAGAGAAGCTTCACAAACATGTCGGACCACAAAGCATCTGCATTAATTCACCTAGTGTATAACTCGCAAACTCAAAATGAGGTTTGCGATGTCAAAACAAGTAAGAAAGACCTTGTTATTCAGAAGAACACAACAATTGATGTTTCTTGCAGAGCAAATACAAGCTACCTGGAGAGACACACCCCAATGATTTTTGAGCCAAGTTTACCTTCTATGTTACCATCAGGACTGAGTGTGACAGAGTCAGTTTTGACACTGAAGAAAGGAACTTCACATATATTGAAGCTGCTAGTGGTAAACAAGACAAGTCATGACATTATGCTGCCAGGGAGAACACCAATGGGAAAGTTAGAAATGATCAGATCAGTAACGCCTGCTTTGATTCGTCCTAAAACTGATAGTGAAACCATGGACAAGCATAAAGGAACATTAACAAACTGCGTAACGGAGACAGTCCTGCAGAAGGATGCAGACAGTATCTTGTCAAAGATTGATTTTAGTGGTCTGATACATGATGAAACAGAAATTGTAAAGAAAATGCTTCGTGAAGAAATTCAATCATTCTCAGCAGGTGATAACGATATTGGATGTGCTCCAGGCTTACAACTTGACATCACACTGACAGACCCACAGCCGATTCAGAAGAGCTATGCTTCAATACCACGTCCACTGTATGGAGAAGTAAAACAGTACATTGAAGATATGCTGAACAGAAATTTTATCAAGCCATCAAAATCGCCATATTCGTCACCCTGTGTTTGTGTTCGCAAGAAAGATGGGACACTGCGTTTATGCATTGATTACAGAGCGTTGAACCAGAAAACTGTCAGGGACATGCACCCATTGCCGATAGTACAGGAAGCCCTTGACAGTCTTGGTGGAAATCGCTGGTTCAGCACCCTGGATCAAGGTAAAGCTTACCACCAGGGGGTTTGTTGGACGAGAAAGTCAACCGGCAACAGCATTTGTGACACCGTGGGGACTCTTTGAGTGGGAACGGATTCCCTTCGGACTTACTAATGCGCCTGCTGCCTTCCAGAGGTTCATGGAACAAAGTTTAAGTGATCTACAAGATAGAACCTGCCCTCCATACCTCGATGATATCATTATGTATAGCAAAACTTTTGAGGAACACGTAGAACATGTCCGCCGAGTATTGCAACGCTTACACCAACATGGCATCAAATTGAAACCAAGTAAATGTTCATTTTTCAAGAAGCAAGTCAAGTTTCTGGGGCGCATTGTGTCCGATTAAGGCTATATAATGGATCCAGACAACATCAAAGTAGTGATATCTTTGCATAATAGAATACCAAAGATCCTCAATAATTGCAAGTCCACTGTATGAGCTACTCACTTCTAATGAAAGCCAAGTCAAAAGCCAATATCAGAGAAGAGACAGAAAGAATCACAATGGGCAAGTGTCATCATCATCAAAAGTAGAATGGACAGAAGAACATCAGACAGCACTGCAAGAGTTGATCAAACACTTGATTAGTCAGAGTTATTGCATATGGATCCAGGACTCTAACTCGTAGTGAGAGAAACTACCACATGCATTGCGGGAAGCTTGAGTTTCTCGCCATGAAATGGGCCATTGTTGAACATTTTAGGGACTACTTGTATTATTCTCCACCATTCCAAGTTTTTACTGATAACAACCCACTCCCAAACGTACTAACCACAGCAAAATTGAATGCAACTGCTCTTAGATGGGTTGGAGAATTAGCAGATTTTAAGTTCTCAATTCAGTACAGGCCAGGAAAATCCAATGGTGATGCTGATGCTCTCTCGACACTTCCTTATGATATGGAGAAGTATATGTCAACATGCACAAACAAAAGTACACTTGATATGGTCAATGCTACAATTCATGTTGTGCAACAGAGATCTAATGAGGACACTGCTTGGGTATATGTGCTTACAGATCCATCAGCCGCTCTTTTCAGTAATAATCACCTTCCCGATGAGAGTTTCGCTGCAAAGAAGATAGACAAAGTCAGTGTGCAGAAAGAACAAGACAAGGATGCAAGCATCCGGAAGATTGTAAACATGATGAAAACGGGAAAGAGACCAACACCAAATCAAATGAAGGAACTTGACCAGATTGCTTGCTTATGAATGGAACAGATTGAAACTTGATAGTGATGGCATCTTAACAACAATTTCAGGACAGAACACACAGACCGTTTTACCAAGAGCACTGCAAACTTTAGTGTGGTTATGATGGTTATGATGAGCTTCACGTTAAAATGGGGCAAATAGGTGGTACAGTTGACTAGAGAACGCTTCTATTGGCCTCACATGCAACGTGATAAAACTGATTTCATAACGAGGAAATGGACCACTTAATCGTTAAAGTTTGCATAAAATTGTTATAAACGACATCAACAAAAGGTGTGACTCACAAGAAGAAGAATTGTTGACTGCGAGCAGTTTACCTGATACAACATATTGTATTGAATAGGCAAATTGTCGGGTTGCAGTGATACAAAAGTGAAGAGAGTTGATTGGACAGTTGTTGTAAGCATAGTCAATAGAAGTAGATATAACGGTGTTTCACATAAAGATTCACAACACAATGTGTCACCTCATTGTCTGTTTTGTCTCCCATTTTTCGGTGCAACTTAATTTTCTATTATTTCCTATTTGCTGATGCACCATCACTCACAACAGCTAACACCCACAGATTACATGCCTTCTCCAAGTAAAGAACACAGTTCCAAAAGATTGGCAAGAGCTGGAATGATGTTACTGATGTTGTTGCAAAGTTAGCAAATGGGTATTTGAGATTTGTACAGACCCCTCTCAAGTAGATTACCAGCAAATGTGTCTCTTTCTCAGCACTAGCAACATTCAGGTCAGGATCACCAAGGTCCATGAAACCTACAAGTTGTCCAGAATGCTTGTCCCAAACAAGATTATTCTTGATTTTCACTTCGTCAAACAAAAAAGCAATGTATCTCTGAACGTCAAAGAAACTTGAAGTAATAAATGATAACTCTTCAATGATCTGCTTGTTAAAACCCTGCTTAGGTTTAACCACATTTCTGTAATCTCTAAGGGTTCTCTTGCTTGGTAGCTTCAATAACCCACTTGACCTGAGCTCTTCATAAGCAGATGGTGATTTTGCAGCAATTGAGAGTGAGAATCGAATTACCATTGGATGATACCTAATTCCTTTTTCATTTCTTTCCCAAGCTTCTTATTGTTGTCTCCAAAAAAGCTTCATAAATGGACTTTGTTTCTCTTCGTTTCCATCAATAATAATGCCAATATCTTTCTCCAATTGGTCATCAACTACCACTGAGTTGTTCTCTGTGTCACTTTTCATCTTTTAAATCTGTCTTTTTAAATCTTTACATTCTAATCTTTGCTTTTGTAAAGCTAGTTTCAATTTCTCTGGCCTTGTTCTTGAAACTGGGGCTTTAATTTTAGCTGGGGACAAGTCTTTTTTGTCCTTTTTTTGCGAGGTTGTGCAGGAATGCAGTTTTCATAAGTTGCTTTCTCTGAAAGAAGTTTGCAATTCATTGATCTAAAGTAATCTTTACTATGATCTTGAGCTTCATTTCCACCTTGAAAATTGTTTTCAAATAGATCAATTTCTCTTGCAACAGAATGTCTATTGAGGCCATCATGAAACTTGTCCACACCTTCACAAACAGTAAGCTTTAATAGTTCTTGCAACAATGATGCTATACTGTGAATTCTGACGTTTCTTTTATACTTTTTGTAAATGTAATGATCATCTGGAAAAGACAATCCAAAAATAGTCACTGCGAAGTCAAGGCTTTCATCAACATTTACTTTGATTTTGCTAGCAATAAATCCTTTTTCTTTCCTTTCAAAGATATAACTGCTATCATTAAGTTTTCGGTCCCACCCATTTAACTTAAGCTTGGCCACTGATTCAGAAAATAAATCGAAACTCTTGCATGCTCGCTTTGGCTTGCTTAATGGCACCTCTTGTTTTTCACGTTTTTCAATTTGCAAAAAACTTGGTTCTGCGTCTTTTTCAAATGATTTTTTTGGCAGATTCTGTGATGGTAAACTTCCAAATCTGACTTTCTTTCTGTCAACACCTGTAGAGAAATTATAACACAGAATAAGTAACAATAACAGCGTTCACTCATTTACAGTTCAGTTCATTTCAGTTCATTTAATTTTAAATCCTACTACATAGAAATTTTGTTAAAAAAAATAAACTATAGGCTACAAGTTACAATGAAAGTTTCAAGACTAGACATAACTACTACAGAAAAATTAGAAAACTTGCATGAAGAGGAATTCTTAAGGAAGAGGTCTCTCAGTAGCCAAAAGAATTTGATTTTTTGGTCAAACGCTATTGAATTTGTCAGCTGTGGCGAAAGTTATGCATAAATTGGAGGCTAAATGCCCCTCCCCCGTTTAATATGACTGGAAAAACTTTTCTCATAAAGAAGCGCTGACATATGAATACAGTACAACATTAAGCAGGCAACTCAGAACATCCACTGGGCAGGGCTCGCTACGCCACTCGATACCCATATTTCTGCTACGAGTCTAGAGTTTTGAATAATGTATCATTGATTTTTGCATACTCACTGTGTTCAATGTCTTCTGGAGCAAAATGCAATTCGCAAATATGCAATGAATTTCGCGCTTTCTGCTCTTTGAACGAGGGATCTTGCTCTCTATTTCGTTCAATAATTGCAATCCATTTTTCTCTTATAATTTTTGCCTCTGCGTCTATTGCCTTCGGAAGTTTAAAAATTCCAAAAGCTGATTTCCTTCTGCTTGAACTACAGCCTTCCCTCCTTTCCTTCTGCTTGAACTAGAACAGTTTGCTCCCGGCATTACTTGATCATCATGTTTTCTAGGTACAACAACAAAGAACCTAAGGCCACAAAAGTTTTGGTGCACCCAAAGAGTCTGGGGTGAACAAATTCTTAATTGATCGACATGCGGCTCAGAATCCTTTGATCTGTGCCGACATTCCAGACCATTCTTTTTCTATTGACTATGTTGTAAGGCGCCATTACAAGAACTGAAGTGAGAAACAATGACCCGGAAGCAAAGTTTCAAGGAAACAGATTCAATGTTGAGGACAACATTTACCTTGGAGGGGTGTATGTTGGATTGTAAGAACAATGATATATTTTATATTATTAGATGGTAAATTTAAGTTGTTTCAAACCCCTCCCAATAAGGAACTCTTTTAGGGATTACGTAATCTATTTGCCTCGTTTTCACGCGACCGCGTGTTTGTGTAAAGTGAATGGCCTATGCCAAAAAGATGAATTAAAATTGATGTCGAAAGTTCTGCGTTTTGCTAAACAGAGCGTCTTACACATGACCTTTTCAAAATTTCGAAAACAATTGAAATCTCAGTTGTTGGGGTATTGATACTTTCAAAGTATCCTACAGTGCTCTCAAGAATGATGATGTTGTCTCTGACGGTGATGAAGAACCCTGTCCAGCTGCGAACAACTTGCTTTCGGAGATTGACACAGCGTTAAAATGACCACAACAGATATTTCTTAATCCTATTTGTATACGAAGAGATGCTTCCTTTATGACGTCATAATGACGTCATGTGTCATTTTTAATAATAAGAATAATATTTTGAGTTCTACGCATCTAATTTATACATGTAACCGAGCGTCAATGCCAATCAGTTGACGAGTCAATGAGTTAGAGTAAGTTTTCGTTATTGAACCTTCTGCACTTCATGCTGGGCGACAGAAGCATATGCGAATAAGATTAAATGCGATTTCTTCCATTAACATGATAGCTACCATTTTTATAAACCTATCATACCTCATTTTGATCAGTAATAAATTCTCTACAAGCTGCTAGAATTACTCCCTTTGCTGAAGCTTTCAAGCCAAAAATTTGCTTCTAATCTCATGGATTATGATGGACGATACTTGTCTCTTTATATCAATTCCAGATAAAAGTCTGGCCTTAAAACAAGCATGCCGTTGCTAGGCCCGATCTGCCATTTCGCTAGGTTCTCGTTGACCCTTTGGACAGCCAGTGATACTTGTCGCGAACTTAAAGCACCTTGTGACGTATGAAAGGACCATTAACTCAACATTCGACGCTATCGTTATATGTTCGTTGTGAAATTCGCACGACTCAGTAGAGGCTCGGTAGAGGCGATCCGGGTCGGCGTACCGAATTATTTTCTTTCTTCATTGCGACTGATGTTAGGCGAAGGCTTCCATCCAACATGGACAAGCAATTCGACAAATCAAACATGGATGCTTCTACCTGAATGGAAATCCTCGTCTTTGCAACGCTGAAAACTTTTCAAAACTGAGTGCTTCATGAATTGTGGGGGATGTGGATGGATTCAACGTCCGAAAGGTTTCTGTCAGAAGACATTTTTTATCGTCTGGTCATCTCAGGAACTTCCAAGAAGCTGACAAATAATTGATGACTTGACCCCAATAGAAGTAGACCCCCAAGCTTACGAAATTGGAATGAAGATAGCAAATTGTTCATTAACAAGTTGGAATCTTTCCTGTAAGCCATTATTCATCCTTATTATTTTACCATTTTGAATATATGAGAAACTAAAGGGTGTAGAAGTTTGCAGTGGGTTTAGGGGAGGTGTGCTTGGAATCCCCTATCCTTAAATGCATATAGTTTGCTGGGCTTTTTAGAATTTTCCCCTATCAAATCAACAAAGGGGCCAGAGCCCCCTAGCACTAAACCACTGCCAATGATCTGGGCACTATACCCTTGCCCAAGGTCCAAGGGTGTAAAGTTTTTCAGTGGATGGTCTCCTGAACCCTTTGTCTTCATATTCTACCTTTGTCATATTGAACCCTTCAATGTTGGAGTTCTGGCTATTTCATTGTATTATTACTCTTTTTAATCGCATATTTTCAAAATTTAATTGCACAATTTCAAAATTTAGCCAAATTAATATCCAATTTCACAGGGCAAAAGTCTTCTACAACCCAAAAGATAAAACATTGGATTTACACCCTTGCTTTTGGAAACAAATATTGTGACGTTATTAGCCTCGTATTTATGTTATGTTGGGCATGCGCCCGGTTCGTTATGTTATGTTATATTATGTTATGCGTGAGAATATGAAATGAAGTATTGAAGTTCCAATTCGGGTGTTCTTTCGTTGTTATATACCGGATATTCTTACATGGTGTCAGGTGAAACACCCATCTTTGATGTTTAGGAGGTAAATGATTGCTTTGCTGGTTCTTGTTTCGCGATGACAGATCCGAATCCAATCGTGCCTGGGCCTAGTGCTTCCTCTGAAGGAAATAGCGGAACATCGGCGTTCATATCTAACGTGCCATTACCCCCACGATTAAGTTTAGAAGGGAATTTGGCAGAGAATTGGAAGCAATGGAAGCAAATCTATGATGCGTACGAAACTGTTACGAATTTGAAGTCTAAACCAGACAATTTTCGAGTGGCTGCTTTCATCACTTGCATAGGACCGGAAGCCCTTCGAATACACAATTCACTTCCGTACCAGGAGGAGGGTGAACGTCAAAACATTGAGCGAATCTTCGAATTATGGAATACTTACTGTATTGGAGAAACAAATGTGATTTACGAACGGTATAAACTCAATAATTGTACACAGGGCCCTACAGAGTCAATTGAAACTTATGCGGCTTCTTTGCGTGCCCTCGCAGCCACATGTGCATTTGGACCACTTAATGATGAGTTGATACGTGACCGAATTGTTTGTGGCATTCACAACAATGCTGTGCGACGTAAGCTACTGCAAGAACCAAAACTCTCATTATCTAAATGCATTGACTTATGCAGGGCCACAGAAACAACTACTGCTCAAGCAAAAATAATTGCTGGCCAAGATGATAATCAAGACCTCATGGCCCATTATGTTGGAAAGCAAAGCAGCCCGAGGAAGACCACTGGAGACACAAGAGGTTTTATTTCCGACTGCAAATTTTGTGGGCGTAGCCATAAAAGAAACAAAGAGAGTTGCCCAGCCTTTGGCAGATATTGTTCTGGTTGTGGTAAGAGAAACCATTTTGTTGAGAAGTGCAGCTTGAAGAAATCACCAGGTATGAGAGATACATTTACTAAAGCCAAAATACATGCAGTGAAGGAAGAAAACACTTCAAGTGATGATGAAATTCTCATTGTTGAAATTTCACCCAAAAATAATCTGGCAATAAATGCTGTGTCCCAGTCCCCTCCTAAGAACAAAATTTTTGCCTCCATGATTATAAAAGGCAGGCAAATTAGTTTTCAAATTGACTCAGGTGCTACCTGTAATGTCCTTCCAGAACACTTCGTTCCTCCAGGCACAAAAGTTGAAAAATCGGATCACTCTTTGCGCCTGTACAGCCAAGCCTTATTACCGATAAATGGTATTTGTAAACTTAAGGTAGTAAACCCAAAGATCCAGACTGAGTACACTGTCAGATTTGTTGTTGTAAAAGGTGACTATGTGCCATTATTAGGAGCAAATGCAGCACAAAAGATGGGACTTCTGACTGTTAATTATGCTAATATCTTTAACGCAAATGTAGATAATGTTAGCTCTAACAGTATTGCTTCAAACAGCACACATCAACAGGCACAACCAACGGTTGTCATGGAAACAGTCTTATCGACCACCGCAGTGGCTCCACTCAGTATTGCAGATATAGAGAACCGTTTTGGAGATGTCTTTGAAGGTCTGGGTCACGTGCCAGGCAAATTGCACTTAGATGTTGATGAGTCACAAACCCCTGTTGTCGTGCCGCCTCGCAGAGTACCAATCGCTCTCAAAGCCAAACTCAAGGCTGAATTGGAAAGGCTGGAAAATCTTCATGCCATTCAGAAAGTTACAAGTCCAACAGATTGGGTATCAAATCTCGTCATTGCAGAAAAACCAAATGGGAAACTGAGGGTGTGCATCGATCCACAACACCTCAACAAAGCATTGAAAAGAAGTCATTATCCTTTACCGCTTATTGAGGATGTGCTACCAGAGCTAGAGGGTGTCAAGGTATTCAGCAAAATTGACCTGAAGGAAGGGTACCTTCAAATAGAGCTCGATGAAGAATCAAGCATGCTCACAACGTTCCAGACACCATGGGGGCGTTGGAGGTACCTCAGGATGCCATTTGGAATTAAACCAGCTTCAGAACATTTTCAACACAAATTTGATCAGTGCATTGAAGGCCTATCTGGGGTGTATGCAGTCGCTGACGATGCTCTTGTTACCGGTAGAGGAGAAACTTACGAAGAAGCTGTCAAAAATCATGACATGAACATGGTGGCACTTTTGAAACGTTGTCAACAAAAAAATATCAAGCTGAACAAGGACAAATTCAAGTTCAAATGCGATGAAGTTTCCTTCATTGGTCATACCCTAACACAGAATGGTCTTAAAATAGACCCCGCAAAAGTTGAAGCCATCACAAAGATGAGCAAGCCGAAAGATGTCGCTGGTGTACAAAGGTTCATTGGCATGGTAAAATACCTGGCCAAGTTTCTTCCCAGACTATCTGAAGTATGCGAACCTCTGAGAAGTTTGACCCACAAAGATGCACCATGGGTATGGGGAAAAGATCATGACAAGTCTTTTGCTGACATACAAAAAGCAATTTGTGAGGCACCAGTTCTAAAGTATTTTGACCATAAGGCAGCAACAGAAGGCCAGGCTGATGCATCATCAAAGGGGCTTGGTTTCGTGCTCATGCAAGAGGGACGTCCCGTGTCATATGCAAGCAGAGCCCTCACCCCTGCAGAGCAAAATTACAGCCAAATAGAGAAGGAGCTGCTTGCACAAGTATTTGGAGTGGAACATCACCATACCTATGTCTATGGCAGAGAGATTACACTTTGGACGGATCACAAACCACTTGTCTCAATCGTCAGCAAACCACTCGCCTCTGCTCCAAAGAGACTGCAAAGGTTGCTACTAAGATTGCAATCATACGATGTTAAAATCTGCTATAAACCTGGCAAAGAAATTGTTCTAGCAGACACACTCTCTCGTGCATACCTGCCGACAAGTGAGAGACAAAAGTCCGCAACTGAAGAAGAAGTCGAAACTATCCACATGTCAAATTATCTCCCCATCTCTGAGCCACAGCTGAAGGAAATACAGCGAGAAACCAAATGTGACAACACTTTACAAGCACTGAAAGAAATAATTTTGAATGGGTGGCCAGAAAGAAAAGATACCCTTCCTACAGGATGACGTAATATTCAAGGGTCAGAGAGCAGTTGTTCCAGAAACACTGCGCAAAAAGATCCGGGATAAACTGCATGTAACACACACAGGAATACAGAGCTGCCTCAGAAGAGCCAGAGAAGCAGTTTACTGGCCTGGCATGAACAAAGATCTTGTCGACTTCATCTCGAAATGTGAAATCTGTAACACATTCCAAAACAACAAGACCAGAGAGCCCCTTATTCCTCGTGAAATCCCAAGCCGCCCCTGGCAAATAATTGCTGCTGACATTTTCACAGTCAACAACAAAGACTTTCTCTGTACTGTGGATTGCTACTCCAACTACTTTGAGATAGATCGTCTATTTTACAAAACTGCTGGGGAAATTAAGAAGAAGCTCAAGCGACACTTCTCTACTCATGGCATACCAGATAAGCTCATGAGTGATAACGTACCTTTCTCCTCTAAAGAATTTCAGGATTTTGCCAAGGAATATGAATTTACCACCGAGCTAAGCTCGCCAGAGTACGCACAGAGCAATGGCAAAGCAGAAAATGCCGTCAAAACTGCAAAGATGCTAATGAAAAAAGCGACTGAATCTGGCAATGACTTCTATCTTGTGCTACTAGAATGGCGAAACACGCCGTCTGAGGGGATGGAAAGCTCTCCCTCCCAGCGTATGTTTAGCAGACGAGCTAAAACACTGCTTCCCATATCGAAGAAGCTCCTTAAACCAAAGGTTGTCACTGGTGTCCAAGAAAAACTTCGAAAGAGGAAAGAGGTACAATCAAAGTATTATAACAGAGGCACAAGGGAGCTAAGTGCATTAAAGAAAGATGATGTAGTCCGGATAAAGCCAAGAAATTCCGACAGAACAGGCCGCTGGACCAAAGGATGTGTCATAAAGCAAGTTGGTGTAAGATCTTATAATGTAAAAACCGAAGATGGAAGAATCTTCAGACGAAATCGAAAGTTTCTACGTCAAACCAAAGAGCCTTTCTTTGCAGATGAAGAAGATTCAATCATTTTCCCCAGAAAGGAACGAAAAGCAGTGGCTCGACCTTATGAAGATCACCAATCTGAAATGGAGCAATTTGATCCGCAAGAGTCACCTCACTCACGACCTGATGCTACTGAAGAAAAGACAGCAGCCGCCAGACCTGCTGAGACCAGATTTGATCACAGGCAATTGAACTTTTACCAGCCAGTAACGACAAGGAGTGGCAGGAAAGTAATTCGGCCGGACTACCTCACTGGCCACAACTTCTGATTAGCAAACTTTAAAAACAATTATTTCTATTATCTTACTGTTCCGCTTATTCTTTTGTTGGAGGAAAGGTGTGACGTTATTAGCCTCGTATTTATGTTATGTTGGGCATGCGCCCGGTTCGTTATGTTATGTTATATTATGTTATGCGTGAGAATATGAAATGAAGTATTGAAGTTCCAATTCGGGTGTTCTTTCGTTGTTATATACCGGATATTCTTACAAATATGTTATAATGGCAGAATTGTTTATATTTGCAAAATATACCTTTGTTATTCTAGCATTGATTCATATAAGCATGGTCTATATCATTTGAATTTAGCTTTGTGTCACTTGAAATGAATATGAATCTAAGATGCTATTTGCTATAGTAACAGAGGTTGCCTTTCTCAATTTCTTTTTGACCTTGTTAAGTATCTATACTCTGAATGTCCCTGATTGTGCAAGATAATGATTTCTTTCATAATTGCATGTTATTATATGACTTTGCAGTAAATTTCACCGGTATGTTAGTATTTTTTTTCCCTGTCAACATTATTACTTTGGGCATACAAAAGATAACAAACTATTTTATGGATCAACAGAAAGAATCTAGCAATTCTGGATGAAGGTTGGAGATTCCATGTGCAAATTGTAATAAAAGCATGAAACTTGATGAAATCACAGGATTCGCTTATTTATAAAAAAGTTACCAAGCAGGTGGTACAGGACCTTTCTTCTAAGAGAAAAACCTGATCAAATCCAAACTATTCTACACATTTTGATGTGAGTGAAAAATTTCACCTAGGAATCATATAAATTACAAGCCTTGAACAATCCAATGTATTTCTGGGGGATGACAAAAAATATGTATTCCCGATTTCTAGGGGGCGTAGGGATATCTGGTGGCATCTTACAGTTGAATTACTGGCGAGAGGGCTCTCGGTAATCTTTTATTGAGGAACTTTTTATCAAAATGTTGTGTTATTAATTCATTCAAAGTAAAGAAATCTTTGTAAGTTAGGGAATCATACCTTATTGTGCTGCCTGCGAATGCACCCAGACAGTAAGTGCTTCGGCACTGTCGGAGTGGAAAAATTTAACAAACTTAACCATACATTTTCCAAGGAATGCGGAAGATAGCTTGTTATTAGAGGAAATTATTGGTATCCAGTTGTGGAAATGACGGAGGGCATGAGGGCTAAGGTTTTCGTGCCGAAAAATTGGGGCTTTCGGTGGATATTTGACAAACGTTCAAGGTGTCTTGTCTTGTCGGAGAATCGTAGGCCCGAGCCCCGCCAAATGGTCAAACAGGGAACGAGTGTAATCTCAAAAAAGTGGCTGCTGTCTGAAATATGTATTCTCTTAGTAAATAACTTGAATTGAGATGATAATGAAGGGATTTAACTGATGACTAAAGGAAAAATAATCACTTATGTCACTGTTATAGGGGGCGTGCGATGTGGTAGTCGAATGTTTAATCAGTTAGCGGGTAGGCAATTCTACTTCTCTTTGCTGAATAAAAAAATCCTTTATAAAAAAATTGTTTATTCTCAGGCTTTATTAACTGCATGCTGAAGCAATGAGACGATAAAAACTAAGTAAAAACAAGAAATTGCTTAAGCAAACTTTCAAGCCCAGCTAAATTTCAATTGAAAAAGGATGAAGGACAGAGAGTAGAAAGCTGCAAATCATACATAAATCAAAACTCCTCTTTTTAAGGAGTAAAAAACTTCCCACCCAGTATCTTCATTCCCTTTGCTCTAACTTCATCCCGTTTTCCCAACTACTACGTCCATTTCCTTCCTCTGATGAATTTGTTGTTAAATTATTTTGTTTACTGCGTCTTCCGTTTGTTAAACATGTTTCAAAACTGTAATGTACAACATCCCACAACAATATCCAGTGACAAAATCTATTTCAAAATTACTCATTTTTGCAAAATAAATCAACTTTTTGTGCGCCAGCAGCGAAAATATATGCATTTCAAGTGTAGTCTTTGATTCTTTTGTAATTCCTTTGTCACGTGATTCTTTTGTAAATTTGCGTCTACGGCCTCCTCCAAAAAGTTTTTATCGGAAAACTTTGATATACTTAATTTTGACCTATTTTCTACCGAATTCGTCAATAAAATGACTGGGTAAAATAGGTGGCATAAATCCATTAAGATGTACGCTTAGCGGACAGACTTTAGGGAATGGGCAGGTGCAAGTATGTTCATGCTAACAAAAAATCTGCAGATGCAGTTTTTTGTTCACTTGGCCAGCTATTTTTAATACATGAAATGCTTTCAATGTAATTGCCATGTTTTGATTGATAATGGGACGCCATCGAAAGATTTATTTGTTATCATAACAGATGGGATAGCTCTGCATGTTGTTATGACTGTGCATTCGATTTTTGTTTGATGCCAGAGTACATGTCAAAATACAATGCTGCCCACAACATATTCGTGTATTTTGCAATCTGCTTTTTTACCAAAATTATCAGTAATCAACAGTCAGTAGCGCAATGGTCTCAAAATACAACTTTTTGTATTTATTATTGTCTAGTCAGGTTTGCTGCAATCGTCACAATTAAATCTGCTATTGTGACTTATGAATCCGCATTTGTGATTTATGAATCCGCAATTATTATAGATGGGCTGCAATTAAGAATCAAATTGTTAATTTGATCTCCAGATGCTGTGGCGCAAGGAAATTATTCTCCAATCTAAATTATTCTCAAAGAAAGATTTGATAAGCTTCATAAAGGTTGTAATTACTATTTATATCCGCTACCACAAACCACCGTTACCTCAAAAGTTTGCTAGATTTGAACGTAGCCTCCTCCCTAACATAGGCATAGGGGCCATAGGGGCTTGACAGCCTCCAGCTTTCACCGGTTTTCACAGGTTTTCAGAAAACAATAGCCACCGGTTTCAATATTGGCGCATAGATAGCATACTCCAAACTGTCACATCGAATGGCTGCTGACTTCCTTGATTTTGAATTCCTTGGATACTTTGAGATAAAGGATGAAGTAGGAAGCTGGGAACTCTGTCGAACTCTTGTGAAGATTGAATCCAGTATATAAACAGAAGAACTGTAGTCAGTCAGGGAGAAATACAGCAATTGTTGCAATTGAAATTTAGATTAAAAATTCAAGACTTATAGAGAAACATAGCTGTTAAAATTTGACCAGTTGTTTTAAACCTGTGCAACCGGCCTAGATCCGCGCTTTGACAAGATCCCATAGCGTTTAGCATCCACTAACCCAAAATTCCAAAAATACATTTGTATGAAAGCTTGATATAATTTTATGCATATTCATGAACATACAACTTTTAACCAAACTTTTATTTGTTTTGCAAAAACCTATAGATGAATTAAGACTGTCTTATTTTCATTTACCCTATCAATAGTAAACAAGGCTGAGAAGTTTTTAGGTCCATATCTGAAATTTTAACTCATTTGTTTAATAAAAAACAGGGAATAAGAAACGGTAGGCTCAATTTTTCGAAAGTTAAGGAACAACCCTACCTAAATTTAGAAAAGCTAAGAAAGGTTTAAAATTTGCAGTTTCAATTTTCCGAGTTGACGCTCGAAACAATATTTTCATTGAACATCACTCTTTATTGCAACACTACACTTGACATGGCCCCTAGACACACCGAACAAGACTTCAAGAAGAACTTCTGGCACACTCAATCTCTATTGTTCATGGGGAAAAGGGGTTGAGCTTGCTAGTAAACAAATGCTGATTTTCCAGTGCTGCCACCCAAAATTGCCAGTGAACCAAATTTACTAATCTCTCAAAGGTTTCGTCGTCCTGCCCCAGAGCAGGAAGAGCTCTGGAAAACGGAAATGATTAGCATTTAACGCATTTTTCTGGTGCCACAGAATACCCAAAGTGAAATCGTTCTTTATTTTAAACCACCTTACATTAGCCTAACAGCAAACGACCATTTTACACACGAACTGCAGCGCACTCGAATTCCCAAGCGGAAATCGGATTACCTTTGTCAAACTTGAAAATGTATTCTCGATTTTCCGCTTTGACAAAGATAATGAGGTTTATGTCAGAAATCAGTGCGTCTAAGGTCAAGCAGTTTGCATTCATTCTAAGTAAAATGCACACTCAAGAAGTTTCCGCTTAAAAATTTGTTTTGACTTCAACTTGAAATTGATGAAATCAATGAGCTCAACTACTTGTAGATCTAAACAGAGTTAGTCATTCTTTGAAAACAAAATTCCTTGATCACTTTTGTTAGTTTATCTCTGAATATGAGTGACCTATCTACTTTACCTTGGTAGCACGTTTAAAAATTTCATTACCTAAGAAATTTTAAGAAACACGCAAAATTGATAGCAAAATGGCCAGAAAGTTTAAAAAACTGCCTACCAGCACTGGACCTTGGTTTCTTATGAAAAAAATAAGTGTAATGCAGATAAAGTGGAATTTTATCAGAAATCATTTCATGAGGGATATTGTGCAATTTAATTTTGTATATTACTTGAATTGTATTATTCAAATTTTGGCATTTACATTCATATTCTATGTGTTGCATTTGATGCTTTTGAGAGTAGTTTGAACTTTTGTACGAAAGCTTTGTCCCTTGACCTAGATGCAGGGTACGCGCCATCGATTTTAAAGTGGAGGGCGGGGGGGGGGGCAAAAAGGTTAGTTTCCTATTCAATACCTAAAAGGGGTATTCAATACCTATGGCTAGCGAGAGAAATGAAGGGCAATGGCCCCCTGCTCTGGCACTGGCCCTGAGATGAGTGTTTTTAAGTGCTTTGGGTAGGGTTTATCGTGCCTGTTTGGAATATTTTTCCATGCTATTCTTTGTTTCCGTCTCTTTCTTCTCGTCAATTTATGATCGTTGTTTGAAAATAATAAATGGAAACTCGAAAGCTCCACAGCCATTCAATCAATTGTCAATTCCAAAAGCACCAGAGCATGTAAACTTGTGCGTAAATGTTTAGACCATGATATTTGCGAGAATTTTCAAGGCTATTTTGAGTTATAGCAGCATAGGACAG